GCTTGTTTGATAGACAATTCTCGATAGACTCGATCTCGATAGACAGTAAGATAAATTCTCGATAAATTTACGTTATCTTCTGAAATTCCTTTTTCGGAAAAACGCTGGTCATATTTTAGTGTGGCTATGCCACGAAAGTGTGGATATTTTTAAGTGATTTGAGCGTATTTGTAGACGTTGAATTTCTGTCTTCTTCCACCTCGCGTATTACAGTCTCGCCGACTATTCTCATCGGTTTGCACATGAAGTCATCAGTCGAAAAAAATTCTAAAATCACAGACACACAACATTAAAGTACTAAAATACCTTGAAGAGCATAATAGAAGTTCTCTCTGAAAGTTTCAACTATTTTTGCTGTTTATTCGTTGAGTTATTAACGTTCAAAAATATGTCACGCAATACTGTCAAGCTACTTGAAACACGCCAAATTAACCTCGGAAAGCCTATAAATCTTAAAACAACTATAGTCTCAGCATTAAATTAAATTTTTAGAATGATATTGTTAGAAAACTGAAGCAAAATCATTACTTTTGAGCTTATTTCGACACTCGGAGTTACTGTCCGCGTGGTTGTGTACTGGATAGTACACCATCAGGGCTTTCCCATACATTCCCTTGTAAAGTAAGACCATATTCAAACGCTTATATTTTTGCTAAAAAATCGCAGTTTGACTTCAAACTTTGCATAATTGTTGGGAATTATATGCTGTTTTTGGCCATGAACATGAAAAATTCATTTAGATCTTAAAACACAGCCTTTTGTAGTTATTTCTTGACCTGTCTAAAACGCATTGAGCCGTGATAATCCCATACATTCTTACCAATTTTCGTTTGCTCGTATTTCTGTTAAAAAGCATTATTTTGGCTCAAAATTTCGCAATAATACTTTCATTTAGATGTTCTATCGAGGACAATAATAATATTTCGCTAATTTGGTCTCTAAATAGCATTTTTAGAATAACACGTGATTATGAGCTTGGGCTACCTGTGGACAATTTGTGACTGATAAGCGAAGAAAAAAAAGAAAAAAAAAATAAGAAGCCCGAAATTTAAACTCTGGGTTCCACAGGAACCCCGAGTAATTACAGTTCGCCAAACAAGGCAGAACTCGCTGAAAGCCAATAACTGAACTACCATTGAATACTTTGTGTTTTCGTCGCTCTTCAGATCGCTGATACCGACTGCCATACCTCAGAATTATGGACAATGCTTGTAAACCATGTCATGGAAACTTTGACTATCGGTGATATCGACAGCTGCTACAGGACCTGTGSTGCAAAGCCAGGSTGTCAGAGCATCAACTACTACAGAGACAAGTCTCTCTGTGAGTTAAACAGCAGGACGATCGAGAACACCCCCGATATGAGAGTCGCCAACGAAGACTCGGTGTACTTCACCATTCCAGGTACAATGTTTGAAGACATTTTCGTTCGTTTTTGCATGTCTTGCATTGAACAAGAGTCCGCTAAATTCAAAAATCATATGAAATGCACTTTCCCAGGCGTTTGCTATTAAAAATGCTTCGGACACAGTTACAACATGACTTTGCTAAAGCAAGGCTTACAAATTGCCCCGCTCGTGCACTCCAAATGAAATCCTTAAATAATACTTTGGCCTTTTTTTCTCTTTTACAAGTGTTTTTGTAATTAATTTCCTGGCTTTTCTTAATTGCTGTGTCAAATAAAAATATGTTCATTGACTAACTTATAGGTCTGGACGTACCGGAAAATATTTTTTTTCGGTCACTTGTAGGTGATCAAGT